GTAGTAGTAGTAGTAGTAGTGGCACTATCGCAGTGACCTCTGGAATAAGAAGGTTCATTAGTAACCATTCCTTCCTTCCTTAGTGCCCCCTGAACCTTTCTACCTCCCCATGTGTTCTGGAAGTAAACCTGAAAAAAGTTTATCATGGCCTCAAGCCTCACTTTTGCAAGTACAAGAATAGCCTAGTGTTGCCTAGGCACTTAAGACAAAGTATGAGATTTGGAAATGGCATGAATGTTAGACCTAAATAAATCTCAAACAACAACAAAAATATATATCTGATGTTTCAATGTTATTCTTTTCATAGAGAAACACATTGAAGGAATACAGACTGGAAACCAAGCTTTATTCCATTGCTGAATCCTTCCACACCTTCCCTATGAATTGTGGCAAGCTTCTTTCTTTCTCTCTATTAATTTGTGCTTTCTTCCTCCCTTCCTCTATCCTTGCCTTGCTTCTTCCTTTCTTTCTTCTTTCCCAACCACTTAGTAAAGGACTTCTACATGCAAAGCACTCTCCTAGGCATGAGTATACAAAATCAACAAATTGCACAAGCCCCATTTTTTTCCTAGACTATACATTCTAAGATATGAATTGATTTAAAAAAAATAGAACAAGTCAGTAGATAAGAAAGTTACTGACGTTTTTAAGCTCAGAGAAGAAAATAAACAGAACAAGTAACATATCTCTCAGTGGCCTTAAGCTGATACCTGAAATAAAAGAAGAAGCTCTTTCCCAGGCAGAAAATAATTTCATAAATGTGAAATGTCATAAGCAAATGGACAGCAGAACTCATCTGTTTCCAACTCCAGAGTTCTGTTATTAGCATTCTTGTAAAGAAAAAAAAGAAGATAAATAAAGGATTTCTTGTCTCGTGTGCTCTGTTGTATTTTTATTTTTTAAAAATATTCTAGCATGAAGGATTTGCTGACAGTGGTCAACAGGCAATCTTCTTTATAAAAATCATGAAGGTAGTCACATTATATACCCTGCTGAGGGAGTATTCACTGTCATAATATGGATCACTAAAGCTACAGATCTGACCCTTCCAGTATGGCCAGAATCCTGGTATGAAAAAGGAAGTAAATGATGGTATCATGTAAGTGGTAATGTCTCCTGGTATTCAGCCAACATTTTCTGACCGGATTATGCTGGGCCACTTCTTGAAGTCATGGAGAGACCAGGCATGTAGAGAACCATCTTTTTAGGTCCTCTATCAGAGGCATATTGGTCTTATGGAAGGAGTCTGTGCTCATCACTGAAATTATATTTATTTTGCTATACTTTGAATCCTGGGACAAAATTAGTGGACATTCTTAATGTTTTTGAAACATAGCATGCATTTTTTAAAAAAAATAAATATACCTGTTAATATTCCTACTATCAGTTTATTCACCAACCACTCGCCAATTCTGTATTTTATTGTTTTTAACATCACATTTGCACATTTGATAGGGTAAGAAGATGTTTTCTATTTCTTCATTACTATTAACATATTCATTATTACGAATTGTAATTTTCTTTATGCCCTTCACCTGATCTATCACTCCTCAACCCTGCCCCTTCCCTCCCCCACCCATCTCTAATATCTTCAGGTTTGTTCTCTACTTCTGAAAGTTGAACGTATTATTGTGTTCCTTCCTTCCTTCCTTCCTTCCTTCCTTCCTTCCTTCCTTCCTTCCTTCCTTCCTTCCTCCCTCCCTCCCTCCCTCCTTCCTTCCTTCCTTCTTTCCGTCTTTCTTTCTTTCCTTCCTTTTTTCTTAGCACCCAGTTATGAGATTTGTTTTAATATTGCGTTGTGGCAGCCACAGAAGCCCACTGCTTGGATTTCCCTTCAAGAAAGAACTTGCCAAGTAGTGCAGTGAGATGAGACCCAGCAGCTGAAGTCCCTTCAGAACAGGCCTCAGGATTCATGCCGAGGCCCAGCTCTTCCCAGGCATATGCCAGCCAATGAATGTGCTTAGTGGGTATATTCAAGCCTGCACATTTATGTGCAACATGTGACTCTTTTTTAACGGTAATCTCCATGGATTTGGCCAAGATGTTGTCAGATCTACTTTGCCTTATCCTGCTTCATATTCTCTTTCTTGCATGGACATCAGACCTGCATCTGCTATGAAAGACTTTCCTGCCCAAGCCTGCTTCCTGCCTCTATCGTTCACAGTCATAAACCCCAATAAGCCACTTATATTCTTAACCTCTTAACTCTGTCTCAGGGTCTATTTCCTAGAGGTCCCAACCAATACACATCTTTAGGTCACCACAAAGGGTATTTCCTGTCCATAGCTTACATAATTAAAACTCCGAATGTTCAGAGGTTTTCTGTCCATTTTTTTTTCTATATTTTTCTACTACACAATATTTAAATGGTGTTTTTAGTCTGTTTCTTAACAGCTCATATATCCTCCTCTAGCACATACACACAGGCACACACATTCATATCAGCCTCCAAAGTTTTTTTTTTTTTTTAAAGAAAGAAAAGCCCTCAGAGTTAGAGTCAAATTTAGATTCTCTAGTAACAACACTTTCTATTTTCATGTGAACATACTCAAGCCTAATTATGCAGGAATTTACACAAAAATGTTTACATTTCACTCATATATATAATTTATATTTCAGCTAAAGAACTTAGGCTCTTTACTGATTATTAAATTTAGCTTTTATTTCCATCTCATTTGTGTCTGCTTTAGTTAAAAACCTCAACTTCATTTATCTAACATTTATTAGCAACTTCTAAGTAAGTACTTCAAGTGTCATTTCTCTTCATTACATTATCCACATTAATGCCAGAATAAACTTTCTAAACAAAATCAAATAAATATTTTATAAATAAAATATAGATCAATTTCATATCTGTCAATTTGAAAATGATAAAGCTAATATGAATGTGTGTTGAGACAGACAATCAGTATGCTGGGTAGAAATGTAAAAACTAGATGTTGCTGAAAACATTTATTTAAGCAAATGGCAATATATATCAATGAGACTTAAAATCACTCAAATCCTCTAACTTAGTTATCTATACCTCATAGTAATTTATTTTTGAGATATAAATTATTTAATTGCCATCACTATGCTTCATTTTTTTACGATGAAGAAAATCTATCTTCCGAAATGGATTGAGAATTATTTGCAAGCTGAGACTAGGCTTTGGTGATTTTTTTTCTATGTATACTTAATTTAGTGCCTGGAACATAGTGAAGACTTAATGAATATTTACTGGATTAATATTTATACTACACTGGGAATGGTGAACAAAAAGACGTAAGTGAAAAAATGGCCTAGGAGCAAAGGAGAACACTGTTCAACTCCACTTAAGCAACTAACACATTTCTGTATTACAGAAGCCCCTGTACTATAATCACTGTCTATGAAAAGAGAAGTGAAAAGAAATCTGACAGTAACTTTGAAATCAAGGATCTGGGTGTGAGTCATAACTGCTCCCAACTCTGCCACTGTGACTTTGGCCAAGTAACAGGACACCTCCAGACTTTGTTTTCTCTTACAACTCAGAGCTGATTACCTGCTCTGCCATTTCTCCAGGATCATCAAGGGATCCAAACGAGATAAAATTTACGACAGTCTTCCTTCTTGGTTGAGAAAAAAATATGTAATTATACCTCTAATTAATGCATTTACAAGAGTTCTTTCCTGTTTCCAAATCTAAAATCAATATTGAGCCATGACCTATTTATGTATAAATGTACTTTTTCTCACTTTTAAATGCATGAGGATTTTAATCTTTGAATTAAAAAAGAAAAGAACAGAGAGGCTTTAATACTTTAATTTAATTAATAATTGACTTAATGGTAAATCATACAAATTTATCTCAATAATGCTGAAAACTCATGAATCGATGAAAAAATAATATATGTTTATGCGCCCGTACATTGAATTTTTCTGCTTGGAAATTTGCAGACAAAACCACCAGATACAGAAGAAAATTATACAAAAACATATTGTTTTTAATAATAACTTTCTGAATAATTTTTAACCAAAATAACATTGTCCTTAACAATAATTTTCAAATGTGCTACAACAACAGAAGAAAATTATACAAAAACATATTGTTTTTAATAATAACTTTCTGAATAATTTTTAACAAAAATAACATTGTCCTTAACAATAATTTTCAAATGTGCTACAACAAAACCCCACAGGATTTTAAAAAGCCTGACAAAACAGATTTACTTTCTTAATATACTGTAAACTAAAGCAATTAAAAAGATACATCTTTATTTACAAAAGCTATAATTTTAAAGAAGTTATTTTTGAAATCAGTTTTTAAAAAAAGAGTGTCATTGTTTGTTTTTTAAATAACTAACTTCATGGTTTATTAAATCTGTACCACCAGACTGCAGGATATTGACTGGATTTGATATCGGATTTGTAAGAGCTTTATAAGAGTTATAAGAGCTTTCTACGAGCTCTTTATAAGAGCTATAATGGGAAGATATCAATATTCTGTTTTATTAATGAGGAATCTGATAGCAAATGTAACAATATCTAACATGCATTGAATAATACCACATGCCATGCATTGTATGGTTGATATTTATTGTTTCATCTGATCTTTATCATACCACTATAAGGTAGGTTCTCTACCCACTTTATAGAGGTGCAAATTTTAACTTAGAAAGATATGCAAATATTACCTATCAATCATCACACAGTCAATAAGAGACTAAATTTATATTTACATCTGATATTTTAGTCTGTCTGATGTATAAGCACGTTTGTTTCCCTTTATTCCAGGATGAAAAATGATGTCAGTCCATCTGTTAAATAGGTGATATTGTATAAAGGCTTGGTAATTTGTTTCAAATCGTATCAAAAACGTTTGTAGGGCTTACCACGTACCTTGCGTTGCACATTCAAGTATTATTGATACTGGCAGTGAGATACTTAACCATAATATTTCATAATCCACTTCTCTCAAGAAAAGTCTTTCCCTGAAGCAAAAAACATGGTATATAGAACTCAAAATTTAGGCCACAAACCTGTTTCAGGCTCAATGGAAAAATAAGGCTGTCCTTCCAAGATACTATAAACCAACTTTGCACTGTTACCATAAACTGGGTCATCCGCATCGGTAGCTGTTACATTAGTGACAGACGTACCTAATAAAAAAAGAAGAGAAAAAAGATAATAATTATCACATTATTCTTTGCCAAGAGCTAAATTTGGCCAAGCATATCATACAGAAATCCATATGTGGGAATAAAGAGGGATATAAAGTTCGTTTAAAATATGGAGATAAACTGCACTGTATAACTTCAATGATATCCAAGTCTTTTAAAAGAAAGTGTACTTCTAGGCTGAAGTACTATATAATGCCAGTCCTCTTAGTATCTGTATTATTTAAGTTTCCTTTGTAGTTTTCATTTTAAAGATACCTATTAGATTCTTGTGGGCTTGGAGAATATGCAACAGAATCATATCAAAGGAATATGAAAATAAGGTTAATAATATAATATAGCATGTAGCATTTAAGTTTTGCAAAAGCACAACTGAAGGTACCTGGGAAAATTGGCTGCTGAAAAAGCTGTACAGAAATATCAAAGGAATATTTTATCCTATCTTATTTAAATCCTCAGAATATAAAATTAGATCGGAACCACCAATTAATCAGCATGCTTAGATAATTAGACTTATGGATAATAGAATAAAAACCTTTTTGGATTAATTTTCTATTTTTCACTCACTTGTTCATTCAACATTTGATCACATACAGCTTGCCTGATATGACATATATATATTAAGACAAAATCTCCACACTTAAGAAGCTTATAGTTTGTTGGTGGACAGAAAGAGGCAGGAACAGACAAATATACCTAGAAATTCAGCTGAATGCAACAGCACAAAGTGTGGATCCCTTACTTAGTCCAGCACAGACACAGTAGTCAAGGAGAGTTTTCTAAGAGAGTTTGCATTTAAGTTATTTTTTTTAGAAAGGTGGAGTTTAACCAGGAGAAGTGCAGGGAAGAAATTCCAAGCAATAAGTCAAGCATAAGTAAAGGCAAGTAATATGAAAGACCACGGAAAATTCTGAGAACTTCTAAACCTGGAGAGGAATTGGAGAAGTCTGGTGTGGTAATAAGAATCATTTTCTATGAGGGAAGGACCAACGTCTTCCTTACTGAGTGTCAAACACATAAGAGTTATTGAACATATTTACTAATTGAATAAATGGATGAGTGAATGAATTATCTGAAGATTTAATAAGGAATGGTAGGTTAGTGTCAGATCAGTTTTCTGGAAAGCAGACTCTGAGATAAAGATTTCTTGCAGAATATTTATTGGGGAGTGCTCTTTGAACAATATCTGTGTGTAAGTGAAAAGGGCAAGATATGACAGAAGGAGTATTTGGATTGTGATGCAGTCACAATAAAAGTGAGATTCCTTCCCCATCCACCCCCCTCCCAGAAATGGAGCTTTGGCCCTAGGCCAGGCTCTTCAGCTGAGGATAACTACAAAGTGGGGGCAGGGTTCATCACCTGAGCTGTCAACAGTCAACACTCCCAGTAACTAGGGGAAGAGTGTTTTAATTCTAAAAGGGATAAAGGGTGTATCTGAGCAGTACATCTCAGTGTTTACTGAAATAGGGTAGAGCTGTGGCAAAATTTTGCCAATCAAAATCCTTTTGAAGTGTTTTGAATTATGGTCACTGTACAGGAAAGTGCAACAATATTTGTTGAGCAGTTGATAGACCTGTAGAATTGGAATTTCTACTCAGAATGATGAATCAGAGGTTCTACGAAATCTACACTTAGACAAAATGCACTCAATGTCTCTTGTGTAACATATTCACCAGACACTGGGAACTATATATATGTATATGTATATTTATACATACATATATATGTATGCATATTTTTATATATGTATATATAAAATTTTATGTTATACTTATATACATAAATTTATGTTATATATATTTATATGTATAAATTTGTGTTATATATATTTATATATCTATAGAAATTAAGACTCATTTTCACAAGTAACTCATCAATTAGCTTATGAAAATGAAAACATGAAAGTACAATATTTGTAGTTATTTACATATTACATGAGATGGAAAAGAATTGAAGGCAAAACCTTCCAGGTGAGAGGCAGACAGTGGGATAATAGTGCTTAAAAAAAGCAAAACAAAACAAAAAACTTGGAGCGATAACTGGAAAAGTTAGCAGTCAGAGCTAAGGCTGGAGATTCAAGCTGAGAACAAAATATAGGGGTATTTGAATGCCACGACAGGGCGTGTTGGCTTTACCTCATGGCAAATAGTGAAGCCATTTCAGTAAGAGATTAATCCTGTGTTGTAGGCCACTCCTGCTGTGAGTACCCTCAGATTGAATTAGAGTCAGAGACAGAAGATTAGGAGACCAGCCTAGTTTATGAGGTGACAGTGGTAGTTCTGTTAAGAGGTGATACAACATTAAAACTGGGTGATGGCAATAAAAATGGATACCCATGTTAATTTCCTTGTGTCGATCTTTGTACTAAGATGTTAAAGTAAACTAAGGTAAACTGAGTGAGGGGTTGCTATGGTTTGAGTACGTCCCCTCCAAAATTCAGGTGTTGTCAATATGATAATATTAAGAGGTGATTAGGCCATGTTAATGGGATTAGGCGATTTTATCAAAGGGATTGATTGAGGGAGTTTGTCTTTCTTGCCCTTTTGCTTCCCATGTGAGGACACAGTGTTCCTTATCTCTGGAAAATGGAGTAAGAAGGCCTTCACAAGATGCCAGTACCTTGATTTTGGATTTCCAAGCCTTCAGACTTGTGAGAAAATAAATTTCTGTTCGTTATAAATTACTCGGTCTCAGGTATTTTGTTATAGCAGCACAAAACAGACTAAGAAATGGGTATACAGTAACTATTTTTGCAACTTTTCTGTAAGTCTAAAATTAGTTCAGAGAAAGTTAAAGAAAAATTGTGAATAGCAAAAAAAAAAAAAAGATTCAAGAGTCACTGAAAGTTCTGACAGAGTGCAGAGACTAATGAGAATGGGCTGACTCTTCTGTGCCCAAGAGCATGTAACCATTATGTTTGCTTTGTCTTATTGTCTAGTGCATTTACTTTGGTTTTTAAGGAGAAAGTCTTTTCTTGCTATGAAGTAACACATTATCAGAAAAAAATAAAATAAAATAACGTCCAGGTTTATTCAGTATGATGTTAAGTTAGTGAGCCTGAATATTTAGTTTCAGTCACTACCTAGGTACTGGAAATAAAAAGTGAATAGTCAAAAATTTCTCTCATTACCAAAATTATCCTATAGTGGTAACTCAAATTAAGGAATGCCTTTATGCAGAAGAAGTATATCCAAATATTTTCTGAAGAACAGGATCATTGTATATGCATCTGCAGTGGGTGTGTTTTTGCAGAACAGTGTGGAATTAACAGTTTTGCGTACAGAATAGTTCCAACCTGTTCTAAATCATCCTGTCTCTTTGAGCAAGTCTTTTAACCTGTCTTAGCCTCCAACTTGAATCTATAAGATACATTACGGTTATGGTGAGAGTTAAACAAAATGATATAAACAGATGCTTAGCAAAGAAATTACTATGTGCTAAGCCAGGTAGTTCCAACTCTAGCTTTGAAAACTAGATCTCTGGGATCCCTTCCAGATCAATGGAATAATAAGATGAAGACAGTAGTCAAGTATTTTTAAAAATTTTATCAGACAATTCTGATGTAAAGCCATAGTTCAAAACACCTGTAGTGGCACCAAACTTTTAAAAATTTAACTTCACCCCTTCTGCCTAGAGACATTAATATCTACCCTGATTACTATGTAGAACTCTTATTCAGATTTGTTTGTGAAGTGAAGCATTTTTAAAAACATTCATACTGCATAAAGAGCCATGGAAACAATTTCTCATTAAATAGATGAGAATATTTTCTCAGGAGTTTACTATTTCCGTTGATTATTGTAATTTAATCTTGTATTATTGTAAGTGGTATCCCATCACATGACCATCAATGGTGCAGAAGTAAGGCACTGGGTTTCTGTCATTTACATGCTGTGTGATTCTTTTTTTTTTTTTTTCTTTTTGACTGGTAAGGGTATCGCAACCCTCGGCCCAGTGTGGTCTGCACCACGCTCAGCCAGTGAGCGCACCGGCCATCCCTATATAGAATCCGAACCCATGGCCTCGGCGCTACCAGCGCCACACTCTCCTGAGTGAGCCACGGGGCCAGCCACATTTTTTTTTTCTTTTTTTGCATGCAAAGATAATCGTTTTTATTCTGTAAACCTTAAAGTTTTATGTGAGGACCAAATGCAGTAATATGAAGTCCAGAAGAGAGGCTGAGAAGATAAATTAGGAGTCAAACTGTCTTGAACCAGAACATTTGTTTTATATTCCATCACCAACTTTTATTAATTCTGTGTCCTTAGCCAAGTAACAAAACATTTCTAAGCTTTGGTTCCCTAATCTGTAAAAAGGAAGGTGATAGTTATCATTACATCATTGGCTCTTTGATATAATTAAATGTCATAATTTATGCAAACAGTATAGAAGAGTTATTGACACTTGATATTTCTAGGAGCTTACCGTCACTATAAGATATTATATTGTAAGATATTATGTGTGTATAAGGGTGAAACTCAATAAAAAACTAGTCTTCTACACTTTTAAGTGGTGGTGGATATTTTAATTTGTAATTAAATGTAGTTTTGTATAATGGTTTTAATAATATATTTTCTTTAATTTTTTTATGGGAAATTACAAGAAGAACATCAGAACTGTAACAATATGCTTGTATGATTAGTAAGAAGTTGATATTATTAGTAAAACTGCCTAAAAAGAAACACAC